TATGTCTCCATCAGAAAGAATGACATTGCCCCATTTGTTAGGAAATGGAAAGACTTGGAAAAAATTATATGAAGTGAAGTAAGCCAGGCCCAAAGAAACATAGGTCCCATGGTTTCCCTTATTTGCAATAACTAGTATATGTTTGAGACAAGCAGAAAAGGTCAGATAAGATGATGTTAGGTGAAATGAACCCCAAGATAAGGACACAAATGGTTTTATCTTTCTTGCTATTGTTTCTAATATATCTATAAGGTGATTTTCTTGGTGCTATTCACTAGCTGTTTGTACATTGACTTGTGATGTCTTCTATTTCATAAAGTACATTTAGTTTGGATCAATTTTGGTTTTAAGCTTTGCAATTGCAAAGGAGATGGTAAAACACTACCTTTCAATCATCAAAGGACATTTTGTGTAAATTCCATTTTACTTATAAGGAAATATACTAAACAGAACCAAGATTTTTGCAGAAAAAAATATGGGAAAATCAAGCCTTACTTAGAATAAAATAAGAACACAAAAGGGTATAATGCATTTCCTTTAGGGAAGATGTTGACAAATTTTAACGATACATAAAATGAATATTTTTTAAAGTATCTTTCCTATAATGGGCATTGTTAGGTGCCATGAAGTGGTGAAAGGACAAGTATCTGATCCCAGGTCTTAAATTTTAGTGGGAAAGTTGGGAGAAACATGATGGGTACACAGAGTGCTGTTGTAACATCAGTTGGAGATGAATGCCATGAAGACAGTAGGATAATGACAAAGGAGAAGACAGGGAGGTCAGTAAAGTCTGGCCCTTCTGATCAGGGGACAGAGCTCTGTATCAGGAAGGGCATAGGAGTAGTGCTTCACAGAGGGAACAGTTAAGTACAGAGGCCCCCAAATGTGCAAGAAACAGGGCCAGTGGTGGCATAGGATTAGAGAGAAGGGGAGAGTAGGAGATAATATCAAAAACACAGAGGAGGGTCTTAAGAGGACTGGATGGTAAATGGCAACAGAAGCCTTTGGAGGGGCTTAAGTGGAGGTGCTATAACATGGTCGGGCTGTTTTCATGAAACATAATCTGATGCAGATGGAGAGGAGGCAGATTACAGCTAGAAAGAACTTATATAAGTACATTAAAAACTTATAACGTACTATGTGATTTTTTTTGTATGTTCTCCTCCCCTGGTAAAACCCCTGTATTTGATTCTGGTGCCCTGCATCTTGTATATACATTTTTCTAATTTGGAGAGGGGAAGGGAAATAACAAAATGCTGAAATAAAGATACAGGAAGACCCATTGCAACAATGAGATGTCCAAGACACTATGTTGAAAACGAACTTTACAACTTTGGGGGGCAGGGAGGAGTTGGGGAGGAAGGGGATGGTAGGGGCAAATCAAAGGAGGGGATAACAATGCTCGATAGGAAATGGATTAATTACTTTACTCATGTAACTGTAACCCTCTGTACAGTATCTTTACAATAAAATATATAAAACAAATTTTTAAAAAGAAGATCTTACATAGTCAAAACCAAACCAAACCAAACTAAACAAAACTAAAATGCTTTGTACTTTTAAACAACCCAAACTAAATATGTGACAAAGGAGGGAGAACACAAGGGAACAGAATGTAAGATTCTTGAGGGTAGGAATTTGTATATGATTGGTTCACTGGGCATCTCCAGGGCCTAATATAATCAGTTTGACACTCAATAAAATTTTGTTGAAGTAAATTAATGAGTGGGTAATAGCTTTTTTATCTGTGAAACAAGACTCAGATGAAATGAACAGACAGAATAAAACTTCAAAGAAGTCTCATGGACTACTGAACTGGTCTCATAGTTACAGAGCACATCAAAATATGGGAGAAACATTTCAATCAAGATTGGGTAATTTTGTAATAACATGACATTGGTTTTATTATTGTAATAGGATTCAAATTTTAAGTTTAAAAATTAGCCAGTTTGTTGTGAACTTCGGACACTCCTAGATTTTAACTATATGGCAGCAATTTTAAGTATCCATTAAATAGCAGAGTGCACATGTGTTTACATACTTACATATATACACACACAGAGACAAATGTATATTGAAGTTGCAGGAATTCTACAGAAGGAAAGCTAGCATAAAGACAAAATGTTTAAGGAAGAAAATTCGGACAACTTGGCAGCATTTACCAATACAACATTTTAGTCTGCCAGTATAAACTTTGAAATTACATTCTAATTTGAAATGGTTCTGGTTAGACGTGTTAACTCTTGAGACAACTGGGTATAGTATTATGAAAGAACAAAACTGTTCATCAACCCTTTATGCCAATGTTAATTTCTTTAAAAAGTACGATTTTTAATGGTTTTTTATTCCTACGGTGACCCTTAAAATTTCTGTGTATGCAATCACAAATGCATACACAGATGCATTTATAAATTTATTGTGTAGTTCTAAAGACAGTTGGGAAACCCAATTTTAATTTTGTTACAGAAATAACTTAAAAATATATTACAAAACTGCCTCTTTTCAATCACAGCAAGGATCTAGAAAAAGATTATACCAAGCAGGCACAATCTATTTAGATTTATTAGGCTTAGAAAAATGAAGTTGCCTAATTTCAAAATAGAAAAAGTACTCTTCCATCTATTTCATTTGTTATCTCACCACTGACATCAAAGTATATCATTTTCTTATGCCTTCAAAAACCTTAGATAATTTGTGAAATGATGATTCATTATGCACATTAGCCACCAACATTCTAAAGTCTGGAAAATAATTTTCAGAAAGTGTGTACAATTATTTTGATAACCTCTGAGACTATGCCTGTGATTGACAACTACCATCAAAAAAGATTTACCGGCTTTTATTCATAAGATCTGCTCCTCGTGCTTTGTAATAATCCAAATTGGGACGGAATTGGTAAGTCACTGGCCTCGGGTTTCTCTGAAGAAAGAAAGCAATACATTAAAAGGCATAATCTATTTAAATTATCTATCAACACAAAATGAAAAGGTTACCATTTATATTCCTTCATAAAATAATATATATAATAATGAAGTTTAACAAGTGGCATACTTGGATTTTGCTTTTTTTGTTTAGGTTCTTCCTTAATTGATCTCAGTTCTGATTAAAACGGAAATTGTTTTCAGGTATTTTATTCTAACCTGTGTTGTAGTTCAGACTTATTTGTGTCATTAGCTTTATTTTTGATGACCTTGGTCACTTTCAAATATTATTTTACAAAATGAGATAAATTATAAGAAAAATTTAGAATTACTTGAAATATACCATAAGCATAAATATCATAAAAGGCTGGCTGAGAGACAAAGTGTTCAGGAAGCAACATTTTGGAGGAAGAGTAAAAACCATCCTTGGTTTTTGATGAACAGAATGCTACAAATATCCACTAGATGGCACTCTGAGTCCTTCTCCCAAAGTGAATGAGTTACTTCAACAATTCTTTCCCAAGTTAGTAATTTCTATGCCTCTAGTTTCATTTGGGTTGAACCAGTGCTTAGAATATACCAGTGAGTAGAAGTATTAGGAGTATGATCATCAAATTTACCAATGCAAATGGGTCTTTGAACATTTTCATAAAAGTAGCAATAACACTGCTTTCTGGCATTTAGTATTACTTATAATATTATAGAAATGTCCTTGAATCATTAGGTGGGGTTTGTCTTCTTAAGTATGTAGCTACTGTTTAGCTATTATTTATTTGTATTTATTCATTATTTACTATTAATTATATAAATGTATCAAGCCCTTCAGAGGCAAATAAAAATTAAATATACGTCTGCAAAACCTTAACATATTTACAGCATAATTAAATACCATAATCTCTAAAATGTTAAGCTACACACATTTGCCATAAGAAAGTTTGAGAAACTTCTAACAATAGACTTCTTCCAGTTACCCAAGCATGTATTTCATGCACTGTCCTTTGAGAGATCTATGTAGAAACAGGGTATATTTTATCTTAATAGAAAATTACTAATATGCTAAAGTATCGATTCTTGGAAAATCCCAAAGCACTGCTGTAGTTACAGGCAGGCATGAGGTTGGGGTATAATTGCTAAGGTTAAATAGTTTGAAATTCATCAAGCTAACAAGCTGCATCTTAATAGCCATGATGGACCTTTTCTTTTTCTGCTGAAAAGAGAATATTTACACAGAGCAACCCTTTCATATCTCTTCCAAGCCAGCTCCAATCATCTGACAAAAATGACAGTCCCTTGATTTAGCTCCAGATTCTACTCCACTGGTTTGGTATTCAACACAGTACTATAATAATCAAATCTGAATTGCCTTGATGAAGATAACTGATGCTTCCATGACTACCATACTATTAAGTCTAACAGTACAACTTTTTTCTCTCTAGGAATTACATAGGTTTCCTCATGGTAATGCTGACAACCTGGACTCAAGTATAATGGGAAAATAAAATAGAACAAAAATTTGTAAAAATTAACTTCCACAGGACTAATTATAACTAATTCTGTACTGATTCTGGAAATATATTTTATTTTTGCTGATATAAAGGGCTTTTCTTGAGACTTCCAACAAACTACTAAAAGACTGTTACTTTTTCAAAAACAATAATGAAAGAAGGGATCCAATGGAGCAGTTTCTTGAAACACATTTATAAATAAATGACAAGCAATTCAAGACATGAAGTATAGATCTAGGTAAGCACTTAAAGATATTGTTTGGAATAATGATCTGACTTGAACATACGAATAAGGCTCTTGTATTGTTTTCACTGAAACCTATTTAAATTCCTTACTTACTGATATCAAAAGGAAAGAGATTTTAAAGTAAAACACCACTGGAAATAACAGCAAAGAAAAGAATCAAAAGATGATGTTGGTGTTAAATGCAGCATATGAAATACTAAGAAAATAAAATCAGAGTTACTCCAAGTTTTTCAGTGGAGTTTTCTATTAAAATATTATTTCTAAAGCAAACAGTGAAAAGGTAACCTAGACCAGTCCTATTCAAAAAATATGTGGGTTACAAATGCAAATTTTACCTATAATTAAAATTTTTTCTAGTTGCTATTTTAATAAAAAGGAAAAAAAGGTAACATGAACTTAAAAGTAGTATTTCACTTAGGTATTTAAAATGATAAGTTTAACATGTAAAAATGAATACCCTATACAAGTAATGATTGTGTGTGTGTGTGTGTGTGTGTGTGTGTGTGTGTGTGCACGCTATACTGGGGCTTGAACTCAAGGCTTTCTCCTTGGGTTTTTTCCTTGCGCCATCCCTTCATTTTCAGTTTTTTATTAGTTAAGTAGAGGTAAGAGTCTCTTGGATTAATCTGTCTAGCAGGCTTCAAACTTATCTCAGCCTCCTGAATCAACTAGGATTATGAGTGAGACATTTATATTCTTTATGTTCTTTTGCAATGGTCTTTGAAATCCAGTGTGTATTTATGGAACATCTCTATTTAGATGAGGCATACTTCAAATGCCACATGTGGTTTGTGGTTACTGTACTGGGCAACACAGAACCACACATATGACATGCATATCCATAAAAATCAACATATGTAAATGAATCTTTTAAAATGGTATGGCTACTTCAAAATTAGGTATCATTACTGATGGCTTCAAATTTATGAGTAGTTGTTCCTTTTAGTTAATTGCTACTTAAACCTCTTTGGAAAAGCTTTTAAAAGTCAAGAAATTTTAGAATAATGTCTTATTCAAACAACAACAAAAAACAGATTAAGTAATTGGTTATACAACTAAGACTATGTACCAAAATAAAAACAACCCTTTTCATAAAAGGATAGTATTAGAAATGAACTGAATTCTAACTTGAAGAAATTGAAATATCTTAAAAGTAAAGAGATTCTTGTTTTTTCTTATTTTAAAGGAACTTTTGGTGCAGGGTAGTGGGGGTGGGTGGGGAGGGGTGATGGGAAGGGATGGTAAGGGGAAACAAAGGAGGAGGCAACAATGCTTGATAAGAAATGCACTCATTACCTTGACCATGTAATTGTAACCCCTCTGTACGGTATTTTCACAATTAAAAGAAAGGAGTTTTTGCAAGAAAAACTACAGAAATATAATAAATCTTTAAAAATATCTTTAAAGAACTGGAATTTTCTATTAAAATATTAGTTACTAGAATTATACATGTGTAAAACTCTGAATGTGAAGAGGACTGGAATCCACAATAGCTGTAATTTCTCATTGCATAAAACTAGTTAAAGTGATACTTTTAAACCCATTTTCACATAGTCAGGATTTCTAACTGTTAAAACATCACCAAACCTATGTTCATTAAAAAGAACTAAAAGTTTTTGTTTTCATGAATTATTTGGGAAGAAAGATAGCAAAATCAGAATCCTATCTTATGGAATTCATATTGGCCTGTACATGGAAGAATATTAGTTATATTTTATGACCCTAGGAAGGATGCAGAAATCACAAATTCAGTTTATCCTGGACCTGAAATCTATAAAAATTCCAGCTATTTAAGTTCCAAATAATCATTCAGTTCTTTGTTGAAGTTATTGAGGCTCTTTTTAAAGATTTCTCAGTAATTTATTTTATACCACTAAAAAAGAATGCTGAAGGGCTGGGAAGGTAGCTCAGTGGTAGAGCACTTGCCTTGCATGCCTGAGGCCCTGGGTTCGATTCCTCAGCACCACATAAGCAAAAAGAAAAACGCTGGAAGTGGCGCTATGGCTCAAGTGGCAGAGCGCTAGCCTTGAGCTGAAGAGCTGAGGGACAGCACCCAAGCCCAGAGTTCAGGCCCCATGACTGGACCAAAAAAAAAAAGAATGCTGAAAATACTACCCATAGCATAGATAAGCTGGGTTTTTTTGGAATGATCGTAAAGTCTTCTGGACAAAGTGACTTAAGGAAACCAAGTTAGTAATGGTAGGAATGAGTCTTTAAACTACAAAGAAAACAAACTAAAACAAAACCCAGTGCAGTGTGTGCAAAGGACCTTCCAATGTTTTTGTTGATCACAAAACAGTTTAGTAGTAGCCTCAATGGTAACAATTGATTTAAGAGGTAAAATTGAAATTCTCTAATCTCTTACTGTTAGTAAATCAGCTTCTTCTGAGGCCAAACATTTTATCCCACAACGAGTCAGACTTTGAATGGTGAATAGCTTCTCTACCATATTTTGTGATGGCAATCTCGAGATCAGCTATATCACTCCTCTTTCTCAACCCCCCCCCCCACATAGCCACATATCAAAATTTTAAGTTCACTTTGTTATGGTAGTATAAAAAATTGAAATTCAGATTCTCAAAGGATAACTACCTACAAGATGCTGCAAATACAATTAACTACAAGATGGTACATTGACCACTGTCCTTGTTCTGAGTCTGGTGAAATCAAACTCATAAAACAGGTCATTACAAACAGTGTTTTCTGGATTGATACCCTCTTTTTCCTCACAGAAAGATGATATCTCCTTTTAAGTCATCATGCACAGACTCAAGAAAGAAAAGTCTAAATTACTCATCTTCCTTTACACAGAAGGATGGTTCAAAGGAGGATTTTTCATATGATTGGTACATACAAAGAGGAGTGAAAAGAGCAAAGGAAAAGCAATTCCAATGATACCGGCTCTATTATATTAATGTATCAATTTGAGTTAATGTAGAGTTAAGAGTTATGTGTTGAGAACAGAACCACTAGAGACAGAATATCACTAATCTGTTTTAGAGACACAGGATGCAAGGGGTTTATGCAGGGGATTAAGTTGGTAAAGGGTTCGGCCCTGGACTACTGCTCTACTCCACGTCAGCTGAGCAACTATGGGTAGTTAAACTTCTAGCTCAACTTTGATCACCTGAAAAACTTTTGAAAGCAAGGATTAAATGACACAATGAAAGTCAGGTGCACAGCACAGTGCCAGGCACGTGATGAAAAACTCAGTGAGAAGAAAGCTATGAAACCCCACATGACTGA